TATCATTTGCTTTCAGTTTATATATATTATGTTTACAGGTTGTATATACAGGTTTGTAATGAGCTGTCTTGACCTCCAGGTGAGAGTCAATGTGACGAGTCGACCTGTAACAACAGAGGAACTTGTCATGATGAAGACGACGCCTTCAGGTGTGTTTGCGCTGTCGGCTGGGACGGAAACACGTGTAACATCTGTAAGAACGACAACACGTACATTCTGTTTTTCACGTTTTTGTGTAAGTTTGGCGACTGACGTCGTGTTCGTCTTCAGCAAAGAACAGCAGCTGTCTGTCACGTCCCTGTGAAAATGGAGGCACCTGCGTGGTGGACGGAGACGTCTTCAACTGCATCTGTAAGGAAGGCTGGGAGGGCGCCACCTGCAGCCACAGTGAGTCACTGCACGACACCCTAACCCCCCCCACACTTTTTATTAAACACCTCAGAGTTCATTCAGGATTCTTGAGGTATTTCATGTGGAGCTGCAGGAATGAGTGAAAGACGTGAATGTTTTCAGATTTCCTTCGTCTTCTATGACAATATGACTGAAGCTTTGTGAGATTAGAAACTACAATTTTTACACCTTTAAAATAAGATGAGAACTAAACTAAAGAAACAAAATAGGTCTCGTTGTTTTAAGACATGTTTAACTTATTGTTGTGTTTCGCAGTGTGACTGATTTCACTCATTTCATTAGTGTACAAAGTTAGAGGTGAGATATTTGATAGATTCCTCCGCTCCCCCTTTCTCCTTCTGAGTTCATCAGCTTCTCTGAACTGATCATGCAAATGTTAACCTTCCTTTTTGTTTAGTCTTTTTGCAAGCGCCCCGTGGCGCCCACGACGTGCTCTCTCCTCTCTCATCCAGTCTCACTGTGTGCTTCACTGTGTTTGAATGTTTTCTAGCTTCTCTACGAAACTTTCCAGTTTGTTAAAGCTACTAAAATAATCCTGATTCATCCTCTGGTGACCATGAGCTGTTAGGTTTGTTCAGTGGATGTAGAGACGGAACTTAACGAATATTAGTGGAGCTGAGACAGAATCAGTCTCACATCTGTCTTTACTTTCCAGATGTCAACGACTGCAGTTCTCATCCCTGGTAAGTATAATAATACACGTCCAGAAACACATGTATGAACGTATCAAACACACGTATAAATGGTTTGTATTCATATATATATATATATAAACACTTCCTCTGTTTAACTGAGAAAAGGTCAGTGTTATCACAGTGTGTCATAACGTTATGTTATCACAGTGTGTCATAACGTTGTGTTATCACAGTGTGTTATAATGTTGTGTTATCACAGTGTGTCATAACGTTGTGTTATCACAGTGTGTCATAACGTTGTGTTATCACAGTGTGTTATAACGTTGGGTTATCACAGTGTTTTATAACTTTGTGTTATCACAGTGTGTTATAA